TCAATAAATACATAAACAAGGAGATGGGAGAGGGATAAACAGACACAGTGCTTCATCTTGACGGTTGGCACTGATGAAGTTTAAAGCGTGCCCCACCATTAATGGCACTAAAACAAAAATAAACCATTTTCAAGTATAAAAAGATACACAGCCGCGCAGCAACTAGGCAGCCGCGGTCTTTGATTTATTCCTAAGGGGAAGAGAAAGGACGGGAACATCTTGAATGGCGTACAAGGAAGATTCAAGTTCTCCGCAGGAAATCAATTTAAGTGAGAGGGCATCTCAGATAAAAATAGGGTAACGCTAAGAATACAAAGAATTAATTGGCATGATTTTGGCAGAAGAGTGCACTAGGGAGAACCCAAGTTTGTTCACCATCCTGTTTTTTGTGTTTACTCGACAGAGTTAGTCGTGTAGTCGAGCTGTCACGCACTGTTCTTTTCCCCTTACTTTTTTCTACCCTCGATCCATTTCTTGTTGTTTTCCGCCTTCGGCTGTCAGAATTCAAGCAGAGCGAATCACTCCAAGATTTTATGAATCTCCGTCAAAGGCTGCCTCATTTCACTGGAAATGATGATATATGATGTTCTTAGTATGACAAGGAAGCTTTAGATAATAAGTGTTGTGTCACACTTCACTGAGTTATGACTAGTATCCAAAATGACTGTGCTAGACACTGATGGGGGTTTTGGTGAGGGCTGCGCTTGTACAGATTTTAATGAGATCTCGCAGCGTGTTTAAATATTTAACAATTCCTGGAGTAGCTCCTCTGTCTGCTGTCAGGAACACCCATTGCAATTTCATCCTATCCGAGAAATGCTCCAAAAAAAAAAAAAAAAAAGTGACATGCACATTGATGTTCGGCTCATTTTCTGTTCTGGCATTTCTGTATATCTTTAAGGGTGCAGGTGCATCTACCCATAAATGGAAAGAGCATATACAGTATAGTGCCCATCTTCATATGAACAAGGGCTGTTCAAAAAGTCTAGAAGTGGGTCTCTGGAATACTTGATTCTGATTGGTCAATCGCAGCATTCCATGGTTAAGTGTATAATGGGTGCTAAACTCTACAATTGTTGTCCCAGGCCACTGTCACTATACTTAATCAAGTCACTTTTGAGGTTTATTTTGCATTACATACAATACAACAGTTACAGTATATCTGGGTATTACTTCATGTATACATATTGTCGGCCCAGATCCAGCCCTCATCTGGGCCGTGTGGGATCCAAGTGTACCAGATGTGGGCCGGATCTGAGCCGACACTATGTTGCTACCTGGGATGCCAGATTCGATATACCATTGTCATTAAGTGTCCATCAGATGTGCACTTCAGAATCTGGCCAGACATACAGTAGGTTATCGAGGTACCTTTGTCTAATGTTTTCTGACTACTGTGAATTCGGACATTCTACTCAGTTTTCTCCTACTATACAATAAGGAAATAATATGCATATTCGGATGCAGCCTATCTTTATAACAGAGTCAAATGATTCGCTGAACCAATGATTCATTCAAAACAATGATTCATTCGGGGGAAACTGCCGTTAATCAGATGCACATGAAAGTTGTGTTCGTTATTAGCATTTTCATATACTTTCACATTTTCTCTCAGAATCAGCATCAGTTCAAATAATTTTATTAAATATAATTAAGTTATGTAGCATCATTAAGAACAGCCAATTTGGGCAAGAGTATATTTATAAAATGAATATTAACCAAGATATGCGGAAAAAAAGATATCAATTAATGTATATAACTCTGTTGTAAGGTGTTACTAATCACAAAATCATAATCTCCATTATAACCCTCTAAAAGTCATGAACCCTTCATAATCTAAAGTCACCTGCTTATCATCTGGTGGCATATTTTACAGTTATAGCAACATGATATTATGACTTTTGCATAAACATGTCACTTTCGAGTCAAGTGGCGTGTTATCTATGCTCATTTTCAGCTATCCACGTGTATACGTGTATGTCTACGCCGTTAAATATCCGAGTGATTCTGCGTGTATGTACACGCCATTAAATGTCCGAGCGAAATTAGGCAAAATGTAGATCTACATCTGGGGTATTTTATTCCTAAGATGGTAGGGGAACACTCATAAATGCTATTAACCCCAGTGACGGGTAGGTTTAGGGACGGGGTAGGGGTAGGGCATGTATTTATACAGTAATGTAACGTCAACGGCGTTCATAAACACGCTGAAAAGCGATTAAGCGTGTTGATAGCACGCCAAAAAATGGAAATACGAATTGGCGTGTCATACATACACCATTTCATGAGATCAGTCTGGTTATAGATGCATAAAACACACATATAGCCCCTCTCTGGTCTTCCTCCCACCACCTCTTCCATAGGTTCCTATATATAGGCCTCTGCCCCCCCCTCCTCACCCCCCCTCACCCCCCTACAGTTGGCAGTGTCTCTGGGCCCGGAGAAGGAGGGTGACGGTGCCAGGTCTCTAGATCCCACTCCAGCCCACCATCCTATACCACCCCCACTTCTTCCACCACACTTCACTCATTATTCATGTTCATAGGGACAGCTTTCATTTGATCTATTACTTAGGCGGGGGGGACCGCAGACTGCTGTGCGGCTCCATCCCTGCTGGATCTTTAATTATTGCAGAGAGTGTTTTCTCTGTCTTGTTCTTTGTTGTGCTAATGAAATATTGAAGTGGCCGATGTAGATTGTGTGGGGCCTGCTGGGGAGGATGGTGGATTACCTTTTGCCTCTGCACAGACCTTCTGCACTCTGACCTGATTTTTCCTATTTCAAAAGCACATTATGATCAAATGTTTATTTAAAGAGGTCCGTGCGTTCAGCTTTGTTTTTTATGTCCGATTACTATAAAAGTTGTTGCACTCCACATTTGTAAAGTGTTTGGAAATAAGGCCTCTTATCCATAAGTAGTTTAAAGTGAAATGAAAAATGAAGGTTGTGATTGGTAGTTTGTAGTGTTTTTAATATATGAGGTTGTTAAGTATATCAAGTTTATTAAAATGTACTTTCTGTTATAAATAATATGGATGTATTGACAGTTACAATACAAGTTACAATATAGTGAAGGGTATATCCATATCCTTCACATCTAAAGAAATATTAACAATTATTCATTAAAAATAATTGATTTTATTTCTTGTAATTGTTACTTTTTTATGTCAATGTACCCAAAAACATTTGTATTTATCATAATTGTAACATTATTTCTTGAATTCTGACCGTATTCTTTTAATTCTGACATTATTTCTCAAATTGACGTTATATATCAAAATTAAAAAACTTTATTTCTGGTAATTGTGGCTTTATCATTGTCTTTATCATTTATCATTGTAAGGTACATCTTGTATATTTCTTACAACAACACTACTATACTGTATATATATATATATATATATATATTTTTTTTTTTTTTCATTAAGCCAGAATGGATTTCATTGAAAGTAAAGACATTGCAGTGTTACAATTTTTTTTTAAGAAAAAAAAATTATTAATAAGTTTATATTAAGAAAAAATATAAAAACATTAACAAGCACAGCTATTTTTTACATGGATAAAAATAAGAAATTATTGTTGAGCAGCATATCGGCATTTAAGAATGATTTCTGAAGGATCATGTGACACTAAAGACTGACACTAAAATTTCCTTCCAGGAATAAATTTTAAAATATCTTTTATTTTTTAATAATTATAATATTAGCTTTATATAGAAATTATAATAATATTTCACAATACTACTGTTTTCAGTGTTAAAATTATGTTTATAATACACTTTCAAACACATTTAAAACTAAATCTTACCAACCCCAAACTTTATGTTTTAGAAAAACAGTGAATCTTCTGTATCTTATCACAATGTACTAGAAAGACTTATTACAGTCAGTAATGGATGGAAATGCATCAAGAATTGCTCAAGCTACTTAGAAGCCACCCACAGAATTGTAAGAGCACATGTTTGACCCCCTCCCTAGTTCATAAGGACTGCGCTATAGGAGCGTCTGTCCATGGCAACTGAACACATAATCCTTAAACACTGTATATTCCCTCAGAGAGCAACTGCAAATAGATGTAAAATTGATCAACCCGACTGTCTGACCACTGGAGACCACTGTGGTCTCCAAGCAGAAAATCTCAGGAATTTAACTGGAGCGAGTTTATTAAAATCACTGACCAGTACATTTCTCACGCGCATATTTAAATTTGGCCTTTTGTGCCTGTGAGGCATTAATATTAACCACCACCATGCAGGCATATAAGCAGTGTGTTAAAAAAATAAACATTTAATTGCATCTATAGCAAGAGATTCAATAATTGGCTAAGGGGAATGTGTAATTGCGCAGTGGTGTGGAAAGCCGTCTGACAGTGATCTACAGGACTCCATTAATTGCCATATGAATATACCCTAGTCTCTTCTCCGCACTGCTGAGGCATCAATGTGAGGGAGACGGGTCACTCCGTCTTTCCTGGCCCATATCCTCACTGAGCTCATAATTACTAAAACCTTTAATTAATCTTGCTATCACTGGGTAAACGCAGTGCTCACCATATAAATGAATTATAGGATAAGTGTGGTATTGTTGTGCAGGAGGGCATGGTGGGCGCCTGCATGCATGCCGTGGCACTTAAGGCACACTTAAATGTGTGCTAAATGTGGATTATTAAAGATCAAATGTACGATTAAAAGATTATTTGATGCAATAATGAAAACAGTTTCAGTCATTATCAAATTTAAGTTGATTTGCACTAATAATGTTCCCCACTGCTATAGCTTCGAAATGTCATTGGTGTTTGTGTTAAGATTTTAAAATGGTTTGTAAATGCATTGAGTCACATTTTGATATTATAATATTTTCAGTTGAAAAAAATAAAGAAATAATAATAAACCAGTTTGTCAACAAAAATATTGTTTGACTTGGAATATAGTATGGACTATTTTTACGCTGTTTTTTGTGAATTAAAGTATATAAACGCATTGTGCCAAGTTTTGATAGTGATTAAAAAGTAATAGTTAAAATAAAAGATAAAAGAAATAATAAATCAGTCTGTTCACACAAATATATTGCTTGGCTTGGAATAAAGCATGGACTATTTTTATGGTGTGTCTTTTTTGGTGATTGCTCTGAATTCTCAAATTGTTTGTAAACACATTGTGCCAAGTTTTGACAGAGATTGATATTAAATAGCTAAAAAAAAAACAATAAGAAAAAGAAAAAGATAATAATAGTATTAATTAATCAGTCTGTTCACGCAATACTGTTTGGCATGGAGATTAAATCTCGATCTCTGTCAAAACTTGGCACGATGTGTTTACAGACAATTTATGAGATTTCAGAGCAATCACCAAAATCAATTAATTAAAAATATAAAAAAATAATTGTTTTGTCTTTATTTTGGAGCTTGACAATAGTGTTTCCCTCTTGACAGAATTTTCATGTTTAGGATAAACTTTCCTGAAAAACTATAAACAAAGATGTTTATTATATCAAAATGTATTCTTAGCTGATTATTTCCGTACAATTAACAAACTGGAACTGAAAACTGAGTAATACATGTACATTTTTGTCCTAGCATATCACTCTTAATTAAAGATCAGAGTCTGGGTCCAAAAGCAACAGCAACAAATCAAAGCAAGTTAAAATTGCCTGGACCAGATCTATTGCTTTTAATACCTCCATAAGGTCCCTTGATTCCATCTCCTATAGGAGTGAATGCTGAGCTGACCAACAATGAGTTCTTGTGTTTAAATCTAATTGAAGTGATTGATGAATTCTCAAACCTCTTTAGCTGAGTTCCTGTGTTTCACTGGGAATAAGTCAGAGTGAGGAAAGTGGACGCTGTGACCCTGCGTATGAGAGCTGACATCCAGCTACGGCACCCGCAATAACTTTCCCTCCCGTGTCATCACTAAAGCTCTGTGGGAAGGGGAATATGTTGTGACATGTCCTGATACGAGCCCTGAAATATATGCTGGCAGTTAGCCACCAGCCTCCCTTTCAATCAACAGGCTCAGCTGACTGGGGCTCTTACAGTGGGTTTAGTTGACTAAGGATGGAATCGTAACACTGCACTACCATCTAGTGTTTTGCGGAGGGATTGCAGGGCTTCTTGCCTCGTCCAATAGGGAGCCCGTTGTTTACAAGTGACATTTGTTCCTAATTAAATGCAGCACTTGTTGCAGCACTTCTTGTGGAGAGGGGCTTGCATCCACGATAATGCAGGCGGGATTCTGGATTCTCTTGTAAGCTTCCTCCACTCTGAAAAAAAGAGCAATTTGTCATAAGTGCACCAAAGCTGTTTTGCTTGCAGCTTTCTGAATATTTGGATGAAAATCTTTCAAACTTGGCTACCAATAGGGGTCATTTTCAGGAAAATTGAGCCATATTGTGGGGGTTTTATTTCTTGGTAACCATAAATAGATTTGTTCAGGATTTTTTGATGATTTTTTTTTTTTAAATAGAAATCTAAAAGTCTTTTTTGTTACTTTTGATCCATTAAATACATACCTGCTGAATAAAAGTATTAATTTCTTTTAAAAAATATTGAAATTAGTGTCACATTTCATTATCAGTGTTCATTTATTTATTTTTAATCTAAAATTATTATTTATTAATATAAAATTATTTCCAAAGAAAATGCTACATTTGTCCTTGTTTCTACATTTTCTGTTCAAGCCCGTTGGGTTTGATATAAATTATTTGACCACATGTTAAAAAAAGTCTTCTTTACCCATTATATTCAACCCTAAAACATTTTAAATCTGGTTGACACACACATGTTTTAAAGAGAAATTCTATTATGAATTATTATTATTGTTTCATAAGTTGTTACTTTTTAAGTAAAATGCAAAATTTAATAAAAAGCCACATTTTCTCTCTCAAATGGCACTATTACCTGGAAATGCCCAAGAAATAGCTATTGACATTTACTTTAGAGTAATCAGTACAACCAATATAGCGATGCACAACATCTGAAAACGTTAAGGATCATCACATACAGTGAGCAAGTGATCTTAAAAGATAAAACACTTCAACAAGTTGCCCTACTTAAGTCGGAAGAGCTGATTGAGCTCTAGCTCAGCCTCCTCAACGGTCTTGTCCTGTCCTCTGTCTCTGAGTCTTCTCAGTCTTTCTTCTGGATTGACAGTGAGAAGCAGCACCAGGTTTGGTTGAAGCAGGTCTTCTGGCCACTGGTAGAGCTCTGAGTCCAGCCTAGGGAGGTTTTCAACCCTCCCACTCACTGCTGTGGCAATGGCATACGCTGCTGTGCTGTGCCAAAACCTAAAGGTGACAAAACAAATTGTTTAGAGGTTATCTATTACAGTGCCGGGAAAAGGAAATAACTTGACATGGATTTTTTTAACCTTACACCAGGTTCAGTCACTAGGCCAGGCTCTTGAGACCAGGGGAGTGAGGTTTACACACTCAAAGCTTTTACAGGACAACAGTAAAACTGTTTTCTTTACTTTTTCTTTTACTGTCTATGGTCTTACTGCGTCAATTCGCACACTCCATTGTGTGCCACTCACTTGCGCTGCTGACCGCGAACTGGCGCGAAGCACTGGCGTTTTGACTTTGCGTTACAGTACGTACAGCAAAAAATAGCCTACTCAGACCATTTTCAGGAGTGTTTCATTATGACACAAGCTACATTTTACTCAAGCAAGATTAAATAAAATGCATTTTTTTCTCACTTTCAACAATAAATGGTGCTATTTTGGTTAAAAAATAAAATATGGTAACCTTTGCTTATATTTAGGATGAACAGTAATTATTGCTGGACTGCATGGGCCCCTCCTTGCAGCTGGGCCCCAGAAAATATTCGCCTTTATCCCCCCTTATGGATGGCCCTGCATGCACGCACAGCTCTTACTGGCCTACATCTGTTACATTCACCCCCATAAATCTACCATTGAAAACAATTTGGTAACTACGGAACTTGCGACAATAGTTGGCTTTGGGAAAAGCACCCCAGTGCGAGATTTAAACCCTGACAATTTGAGGCTGGTGCTCTAACAGACGCTAAAGGCTGCAGCCGCTAGCGTTAGCCGCTAACACGCCTTTTGAGACCATGGGAGTGAGGTTTACAAGTCTATTTCTCACAGCCTCAATTTCATCCATGTAAATTGTATTTTTTAATGCCAGGTAAATTATGCTCTGATTACAAATATAAATGATTTTTTACCTGATCGGTATATATTTAAAATATCCTCAAATAAACAGTTACGTTTTAGCGAGCATCAATTTCCCCAAATCCAGTTTAAAACATCTCCTCAAACCCTATACGTTCCACAATGCTGCCCAAACATCAGCTGAATCGTGTGAGTGTATATATACAGTACCTGTCCACTATGACAGGAGCCCTTAAGGACTCTTTTCCGATGTGGGCTGCAGTGATGTAGTTCCCCAGAGCGTAAAAGGCCCTGCGGATGAGGGGTGGTTCTGAGTCAAAGCGCTGTCTGAAAGAATCCAGGCACTGGGGAGGAGATTTCAGCAGAGTGGCATTCAGAGACTCCCGCAGGGCTTCTGTGAGAGTAGTTTTACCTATCGGTGAAATCAGGGAAGGGTATCGAGAGGAGTCAACAAACTTTTTGAGTGCAAACTATTTGTTTAAGCATGATTTGAATCAAATTGACAGCTATGAATTTTTAGATGGTATTACTTTCTGCTTGGTATTAATAAGCTGAACAAAATATTTGTCAGAATGACTCAGTGCTAACCTGTAGCATCAAGTCCCTCGATCACAATGACAGGAAATCCATCACCAGTGCTTGTCTCCAACCGTTCATCTACGAGCTTCAACACGTCCTTTGACTCCGGGATAATGTCAGTGCACTGGGATGGCAGAGGAGAATGTAATGTTTTACCTCAAGCTGGATTGTGGTTAAATAATCATTGTTCCTTTATATCAGGAAATCAAGTATACTTTCATTTCAGCATTAAAGTAAAATAATCTATACAGGTAACTACAGCTGTTTTATGTCAACTGTATACAAGATTACATTTGTTTGATGATAAATACAGTAGAAAGTAAAAAGAGTAATATTGTGAAATATACTGTAATTACAAAGTAAAATAACTGTTTAGCTATTTTTTTTCTCCCCTATTTTTAAATGCAATGTATTCCTGTGACGGCAAAGCTTCAGCAGCCATTACTTCAACCTGTGTCACATGATCCTTTATAAACCATTCTAATATGCTGATGTGGTAGCCTACTAAAAACAGTTGTGTTGCTTAATTTTAGAATTCGTTGATGAATAGAAAGTTCAAAACAACAGCATTAATATTAGGCTATAAATGACTACAGTCACTTTTGATTTATTTAATCCATCGTTGCTGCATTGTGATATTATGATAGTCTATACAATAATCTGGTCCCAACATGTTTCAAAATCCTATATGTACCTCCTGAAGAACCTTATAGGCTTCATCCATACTGTAGAAGACATCGGAGTTCCTGATGTTCAGTGTGGATGGGTGATGCTCTGCTGCTGTAGCAGGAGTGATGTACTGTCTCGCTGACTCCTTCACTTGATTGACAGGTGACCACAGCTCCTGCCAGCAGTACTGACCCTCGCGCTTGTATGAAAACACACAAACTGTTTTACTCTGCCGCAATGTGTTTAATAAGTCCTCTGAAAGTGTTGTAGTGGATTTGTCTCGTATAAAAAAGCCTTTAACGACGCTCTTTTCGTCGTCCGGAATAAACGAAGACGCTTCAAAAACATCGCAATCTCGCGAGATTGTTGAAGACAGCTTGTGTTTTATTTCGGCGTGCGTTTGCGCTTTCTCAATTCTGTTCTCACTTTGGACATGTACCGAGAAGAGCTTCCCACACTCTCCAAAGAGCTGTTGGTGATCATGATGGAGAACCTGTGGGCTTGAGCTCAGTGTGAAATAAAGAGGTTCAGCGCGCAAATCAAACTCCACCGCAAAAACACGCGAACACAGCTCTCCACTGCGAAACATTGCTCTCCGTAGCATTGTGAACGGTGTTAGATAGCACAGTAGCCTGCGTTATATGTGGAAGAATCACATTTTTTCTAGCTAGCGCTTACAGAGAAACGAAACTTGACCCGAAAACGAAAGTAAGATCGCCAGCAGTCCACTTACGTCACTCACGAAACGAGCGGAGTCAATCAAACATTAAACAGTACGGATGAAGTTCAGCTATCAATAATTTAGTTTAAGTCCAATTCTCACTCTTTGGCTAACTATTAGGCTATGTTTTAGCAGCGTGCGCATACTTATAAAGCACTATAATGCATATTCTGCATGCCCATGTTCCACATCCCTAAGCAATGAGTTTACTGAGGCAAACGTCGTGGTTAATTAACTAATAGTGAGAATTGAACCTTAAGATAAAGTGTGACCACTTAATGATATTGTTATTGTTGTAGAGTTAGTGTCCTTTAAGATAGGACAAGCAAATAATATATTTCTATAAGATAAAATTATAATAGGCTAAGTTGCAACTTGCTGCATTTTAACTGGCCATGGTGGTATAAAGGCTATATTTAGCCTACTAAATCCATGTGACTAAGGAAAATTAAACAACTACGCCTTATGTTTGGCTCAGCTGATAGGCTATTTATCTTTCGTTTTTCGAATGTTTGACTCAGCTGATCAGCTATTTATCTTTCGTTTTTCACTCCCTCCAAGCAAGAACAGAAACCGATCAGAACAGGATCTTGAGGCTGTCCTATAAAAAGGGAGGTGTGAGCTCTCTTAAGTATCAGTCTACACACTTCACCACATCAAACCAAGTTGGTTTTGCAAGAATGTTGATGCCATTGTGTTTCAAGGACGTCCACAGCTTCTTTTCAGCCCTGTTGAGATGGATTTTGATGATGGTATCAGGCACACTGGTGTCTCTTGGGATGATCAGTCGTCCAAAGATTCGCACCAGAGAGCAGAAAGAGGCATCCAGCGCACAGGTGACCACTCCAAGCAGTGTGAACTACCATTTTACCCGGCAGTGCAATTACAAATGTGGCTTTTGCTTCCACACTGCGAAGACCTCGTTCGTCTTGCCTATTGAAGAGGCAAAGCGAGGGTTACGACTTCTGAAAGAAGCAGGTAATCTAACATGTCACCATGCAATTCAATTATGATTGTTTTGGAATTCTGTAATTTATTATAATTATTAGGTCTATAAATGTTTTTTTCCGTGCAAATCATTTTTTAAATAAATAAATCAATACAAATAATAATAATAAAAGTAATGTTCCCTCGTATTTAATCAACACCCCCCCCCCCCCCCCCCAGGTTTATATGATGCTGTGATTAATGGCACGAGGGCGGGGCAAACTGTCACTCACATGAGATCATGACATGACATTAATGTCTTGTGTTAATTTGTTTTCATTATAATTGTCATAATTAATAAATCAATGTAAATGCAAATGATATTTTTTCCCATTTCAACTTTAATGATGACTAGATTGTCTTTTTTTATTCTAAAACTTGGTTTGTATGTTTTAGGAATGGAAAAAATCAACTTTTCAGGTGGAGAGCCCTTTCTTCATGAGAGAGGCTCTTTTCTGGGAGAGTTGGTCCGATACTGCAAACAGGAGTTGCTGCTTCCGAGCGTCAGCATCGTTAGTAATGGCAGTCTGATCAAAGAATCCTGGTTTCAGAAATACGGTGAGAATCATTCCTGACCACCAGAGGTCAGCAAAGATCATTTTAAAACGCTTTAGTGAACGTTACACATTTTCCACGGTAACAATCTCAATGTTGATTACATATAGCTCTACACAATATACTCAAATCATAACAAATGTATTAGCTCTATAACAAATACATGGGCTACCTATAGGTTAATTATTAAGCTCCACTATTATATATAATATTATTTCACATTCATTCGAACAGTATATTTGCTCAAAAAATTGCATTATAAAATACTTAATTATGTAATGCTAAAAGTGGTTATTTTTAAGCATGTATTTAAATGTTACTTAAATTTATCAAAGGTATTTGCATATGGTCTCAAAATTAGCCAGAAAAATATTACCCTACACATATAGGCCCAGTTTCACAGACAGTGCTTAGATTAAGCCAGGATTAGACCTTAGTTCAATAGGACATTTAAGTAGCTTTTATTAACAAAAAAACACTGCTGTGCATCTTGAGACAAAACTATAGCACTGACACATTTTAAGATGTGTCAGTGCATTACTTTCAGTTAAAACAGCTCAAACATGCATTTTAGTCTGGGACTAGGCTTAAGCCTTGCCTGTGAAACCAGGGGTTAAAGTACAGCGCTGTCAGCTCCTTAATTGGTCGATTGAATTTGCATCTGTATTCTACAGGTGACTACTTGGACATTCTTGCAGTATCTTGCGATAGTTTTAACGAAGACACCAATAAAGTCATTGGCCGAGGTCAGGGCAAGAAGAGCCATTTAGACAATCTGCATAAAGTTTGTTCCTGGTGCCGGGACTACAAGGTGGCTTTCAAAATCAACTCCGTGATCAACACCTACAATGTGGACGAAGATATGACAGAGCAGATCACTGCTCTGAACCCAGTGCGCTGGAAGGTACAGTTACTTGTTTTACTACAGACTTCCATGTTCACATTCCTCTATCATTATAACCAGGCTCCTGAATGTACTGCAATGTTCACACAGGTCTTCCAGTGTCTGCTAATTGATGGTGAAAACGCTGGGGAGAACAGCCTCCGCGAGGCAGAAAAATTTGTCATTAGTGAGCAGCAATTCCAAGACTTCCTGGACCGCCATAAGAGCGTCAAGTGTCTGGTTCCAGAGTCTAATCAAAAGGTAATTTTGAAACACAGACTGCGTACTTTGGCTCAATTCAGATCACTCGTTTCAAAATAGCTTATAATTTGCTTGATAAAATGGCTTCAAATTATGGGTAATGCAGCAATAAACTCTCAGGTTCAATTCATTATCGAAGCTTTTAAGACGTAAACGAGTTTTGAATTTAAATAAAAATAGCTCTGTTCAGAGATGGAAGCTGGGGATTTGAATATAAAGCATACTGATGCAAATTGTTTATTTTCTCATCTATTTCCCTTTTACAGATGAGAGACTCTTACCTGATTCTTGATGAATATGTAAGTGGTCATATTTTCTCCTCAGCAGTTTTCTTCTCATTATTGCGCAAATGATTTTTAAAATAAATATTTGATTATGTTATCATTAGAGTCTTAATGATTTTTTTGTATATTAGATTACACTATTATTACAGTCTCAATGACTCCTATAAATTACATTATGTCATCATTTCAGTAGTGAAGGGATTATGGACAGGAATTTAATAAGGCCTCATTTCAGGCTTCAAATGACTTCTCCCCCTTGGATAATCTCGGATCTCTATTAATAATCATGCTGTCTATGCTACATCATCAGATAGAGCAATCATCATAAATAGATTTTTAATCCTCCATATCTGATTCTGCAGATGCGCTTCTTGGATTGCCGAGAGGGGAGGAAAGATCCGTCAAAGTCCGTTCTGGATGTTGGTGTGGAAGAGGCCATCAAGTTCAGTGGTTTTGATGAGAAGATGTTCCTCATAAGAGGGGGGAAATATGTGTGGAGCAAGGAAGATATGAAACTGGAGTGGTGACCTTTCTCAATGTTGCTTTTTTACTCTGTGTTTACATTGAAAGCTGATTTAATTTATAAATGCTAAACAATAAATAATTATACAGTATATAGTTAAAGTCCCAGATGAAACTTTGGTGCCTATGTCTGTATATTCAATATTTTTATATAATATAAGGAGATTCTACTGCACTGAAATACTTATAGACATTGATTATTTGTAGTTCTATGCTCAATTTTTTATTTGTATTATGTTTGAGTATTTGCATTACCCAAAGTATGTTTTTAACTCTTACTTTGCTGTCTTTACTTTGACTTTTTAGTAGAAGTAAGTGTTTTTATGTAATCCTATAGGAAATCCTATTCTGTTTTTTAATTATGTGCACTCTGAAGGCATGAAGACACTTTGAGTTACAATTAAGACTTAATGCACCTTAGATTCTTTAATTGTCATACAGTAGAACTGGCAATTTACTTAAGCCACAGTTTAAGGCTCCTCAGATCACAGTGTTGGAATCCTTTAAGCTCCTTTTCTATAAGAGGAGTTTTCTTGTTCTTGCAAGAACTCAAAAGACTATCAGTGAGACCCTCCTGTAACCCCACCCCATTATAATGGGAAAGCTTTAAATCACTTCTATCATAGAAAAGTTCACTGAGGCACCTTGAAAAAGAAATCTATTGAAATCAAAATGATTCCTCGATACCTTTTCATTTTACAGTGAAGTTGAAACTTTATATTGTATTTTATTGCATTATTTTACTATGTTAATAAATATTTTTTGACAACTTGTTGCATCTGATCTCATGTAATTGTTCAAACTCAAAGAGTCATCTTTTAAGATAAATAGTCCTTCATACAAAGGACTTGCTACTGAATTTATTGATAGAATTCATCAAGCTCTCGCTGCTTGGTTTTGTAATTGCTTTTATCAGTCCCCATCATCATAAATGTCCTACTATGTTGCCCAACCCACATTTCACCCTGTTAGTCTTTCATAATACCCAACTACTGATCGACTGATGGGCTACAACAGCAGAAGACCCCACTCATCTCCTCTGCAAATAGGAAAAAGAGGCTACAATTCGCAAAAGCTTACCAAAATTTGACAGTTGGAAGACTGGAAAAATGTTGCCTGGTCTGATGACACTCGATTTCTGTTGAGACATTCGGTAGAGTCAGAATTGGTGTAAACAGAATGAGAACATGGATCCATCATGCCTTGTTAACACTGTGCAGGCTGGTGGTGGTGGTTTAATGGTGTGGGGGATGTTTTCTTGGCACACTTTAGGCCCCTTAGTGCCAATTGGGCGTCGTTTAAATGCCAAGGCCGACCTGAGCATTGTTTCTGACCATGTCCATCCCTTTATGGCCACCATGTACCCATCCTCTGATGGCGACTTTCAGCAGGATAATGCACCATGTCAAAAATCTCGAATCATTTCAAACTGGTTTCTTGAACGTGACAATGAGTTCACTGTACTAAAATGGCCCCCACAATCACCAGATCTCAACCCAATAGAGCATCTTTGGGATGTGGTAGAATGGGAGCTTTGTGCCCTGGATGTGCATCCCACAAATCTCCACCAACTGCAAGACACTATCCTATCAATATATATAAAGAATGCTTTCAGCACCTTGAATCAATGTCACATAGAATTAAGACAGTTCTAAAGGCGAACACAGTATTAGTATGATGTTAGTATGGGGGTCAAACACAGTATTATGGTGTTCCTAATAATCATTTAGGTGAGTGTATGTTACCTCAACCCAAAAAAGCTTCACAAAACTGTAAGCGTTTTCAAAAGCCCAATAGTAATTTTTGTATTGCACCCAATAGAGGGCGCTAGTGCTGCGCCTTCGCTTCAGAAACCCATTACAAAAATATAGAGACGTACAGACCACTGTCTGTACACAGAGCAGTGCTAGGAAATACAGACTAATGGCGTCTTCACAACGCGTCCGACGGATCAGCTGATTCTTATATCTGCCTGCAAAACTACATGAAGACATAAGGTAAAACGCTCGTACAATTACAGCTAGCTATGACGAACGTGTCTGTCTTAAACTACAATGTCTATCCACAGTATTCGCTGCATACGACACTATATTGACTTTCAGTAATGCAATAGGATTTGTGCAGCGTTCTTTCGTTTATAGACAGATATCTATGTCAGCTGTCAATGTATCACAATCTCGGTTTAATTTTTTCATTTTTGGAAATGCTTTATGGTTTACATGTGGCTAAAGGGCGAAACTCCACTTTCTTCTTGGATGTGCAGCTCTCATATAGATTTGTTTACCCGACTGATGTCTAAGATGGCTGTTTACTTTTTATGTATGTTCATAGGTTACACACTGTCACGTTAAAATGCTGTGGCTTTCTAAACCTGGTGTGCTGCCTACCTAGACAGCATTTTTGGGGTATCGTGATGTCCAAAAATGTTGCTGTAATGCCTAAAAAAGATGCCTAGGTAGGCAGGGCAGCACACTCTGTTATGGGATCATGGGACCCTTACAGGATGCAAATATTCATATAAAATGACCCATTCGGGTGTTAAGGAGTTGATGTGCTCCAGTAGCTTTGAGTTTTAGGGATTTATCATGCTTTTTTGGGATTGTGCAGTATAAAGGAATAAGGTCCTCTCTGGGTCGTGAAAACTGTATGTGGGATCCAAAGTGTAGAACAAATCCCAAACCCCATGTGTAGCATTCAATGGCCAGCATTCATTACTTTACTGGCCTAGTCATCGTTTAGATGGATGGGTTACTATGAGGGAGATGTATTTATCTTTGACAAGTAGAGTTTTGAGAAATGTTACCTGTGTTAGTTCCCAGGGCAATGTTTGTTTTTTTCTTTCAAATATTATTTTATAAACGGGTTAACACGGTCTGTTTACATTATGGGAGCGTCTTTATCTGATTAGTGTTAGCTAGGGTTGGAATTGACTTATGCTTGACAGTATATTTAAAGCATCAACATCAAACACTTTGTCCTAATGTTAAGGCCACTTCTGCATTTTAGCTTCGACTGAAGAACAATTATATCCACTTATATGTGCACTATAAACAGTAACATTGATTCTGTCATCTGTGCACTGTATTTGATATACGGTTATGCAGTTTCAACCGAAATAAGTAGAACAGAGGTTAGATAAGTGTGTTGCTCATAACAGTCAGAAAGTCCCTCCCAAATGAGGCCACTTATCTTTCCACGTCATAAATAGACATTCTGTAGTTTAACTTTCAGTATTGGTCCTTTAGTCATAAAGGTGGTTTGATAAATGGTAAAGAAAAGAAGAAAAAAAAAACCCAGACTCTTTTCTCCGATAGACAGCTCAAAGATGCTTCAGTTCAGCCAAAGGTTGTGGTGACCCAGCAGCAACAGTGGCAAGTACAACAGTCATCTCAAGCATATGAAAATAAACATGCAAAGTTGCAAACGTTAGGCCAGATTAGCTAAAAAAGGCAAATTAGAATGAGGCCACAATCCCATAAGAGCACAATTGGAAATGGAAAGTTCTGTCGCCTATAGTGTACTCTGATTTATGCTGTTGGTATTGTTTGTACCTTAAGATGTAACACTTTAATAACAAAGAATGCTGAATAGCTTGACCTGGCCATATTGAATTTTTAATAACTCTTCTTGGGCGTCCTATTTAAAGCACCTGAATTTTTACAGGAAATCCATTAAGACATTGACTAGCTTTGCAAATGTGTTCTAATCTATAGATGTGCTTCTTAGACAAACATACTGTGTTTTAATCATAATATGGCCTTGTTTGACCTTTTCATCCCCCACACACATACATTTGATGCACTAAATGCATTACAGAGCACTTAAAGCTGTTTATGGTCAGCAGTTGGACATTGCAACCATTTTGCAATTTAATTATGAGATGCAGTATGACAACAGACATTTAACTCAGGATTTTGTTATTGTCATACCAACTTTTCAATCACATAGGCCTATTGTTTACTTCAAGATTCCATATAATGTTACCTCTGAATTCCTCCTAAATCAAATCTGCGATGCCTTTATCACTCTAGGCATTGTTTTTGCCATAAGCAAGCTGTAAGAATTCCTTTTGATTTTTTTTTTTGTTTTTTGAATTATCTAAAGCAGCTCTATTAGTCAGTCATTCCTATCAGTGATCTCAGTAGATACATTGTTGCTGCCCAACAGCTGTGGATGAGAAAGCAGTTAAGGCAAAGCTCTGTAATGCAGGCAGGAGACTGGCTGGCTCACGGCAGAAGGTGACCTCAGCTGGGTTCAGATCTGATTGAGTCAGATATTTCGCAGGATAAGTCCCAGTAGACTAGCCTAGTGTATAAAAGTTGCATATGTGCAAAATACATTTCCAAAGTGAGTGTGCCAATAACATGGCGTAAAATACGCCACACCAAAAGACTCAAAGAAGTTATTGGTTTAATATATATATATATGGGTGCTTAAACACTAAAGTCATGCATATTTTTGCTTGGGTTTTAATTATTGAAGTGAGAAAATTAATTTAATTGTCATTTAAACAGAAGCTAGATCATTGAGATGTTTTGGTGAAAAAGCTTACTGCAAGTCTGTCTGATGTGATTTAAGCCTAGCTGGTTGACGGGTATCATTATTTATTTATTCAGTTCTCACAGCTGGTACCCACTCAAAACTTGGCGCTCACACCTGCCCACAGCATTGAGCTTTGCCACATGTGGCTGGTGATAGAATGAGACATTTGCATGTTAATAGCTTGATGGCAACGTGTGAACTCATCGGTCAGTGAAGGTTGTAAAAACGAGCAAAGCTTTGCCTCAAAGCATTTAGCACTGTACAACATCGTCTTCCGGTACCACCATGATGGTTCATTCAGCAATTCAGCAACAGTTTAATGTGAAGAAAATGGTATTATACATTTTTTTTTTAACCACAAAATTTTACCAGTCATTTCTGCGTTTTCATTTATGAAACCTAAACCTATGACATAAAATGAGTTAATTAAAAAGTGATTTCAGGTTTCTTATCTCACAATTAAGAGTTAATTTGTCATAATTGTGACTTCATTCCCCAGTGTGACTTTATTTATTTGAATTGCAACTTTATTTCAACTTCATATCTTATAATTAAGACTATATCTGTAACTTTTTATCTCACAAGGTCACCATATTTCCTATAAATCTGTAATTTTAAACTTCATCATCTCACAACTCAAAAACTTTAAAACAGGATAATTTTTTTCAAACTCTGTTGCTGCTGTGGCTTGCCACCACTAATTTTATGAGTTCAAGTGGAACTTTGATTGGCTCAGCAAACTGGTAAAACCTGACTCATCCTTTGAGTTGCATTTTTTTAACACAGACTTAGTTCTGTAAGGTTTTCTTAGACAGAACATTTTGTGCCAGCTAATTGTTAATGTTCAGATTTTTTTTTTTCATGCACTCATTTGGTTTTCATAAGACTATGTCTTAGAAGAGTGTGTCTGAATTGTCAAGGCAGGATGTATGAAGTGTTTTCCAGTGATGATGTGTTTGAGACCAGCATGTCCTGTCCTCAGCATCTGTGATTCAGAGCTTATTCACAACTATTCCCTATAGGTGCTACTGTACTATTCATACTGTGTTGTTTTTAAGTAACGATGGATATAAAAAGTATCTGAATTTTGAAAATACGTTTTATTACTGACGTGCAGACGTTTCATCCTCGGCTTTTGTTTTTGTTGGCTAAAATGTTTTACTTTTTCTCACATCTGCTGTCATTCAAGACTCTTGAGTGGCAACAGATGGCATTCACAGATAACCTCAGGGCTCTGTCTCTGATCGTGTCAATAGAAATAAGTACTCAGCAGCATGCTTGTCATATCCTCTTCATTTTTTTAAAGACTTCTGAGAAGAAATATGTCTCTTCATATTTTAATGTAGTTCTATTCTGTTTTTCATTGAAATCCTTGTCTTCACACCACAGAGAGTCAAACTGGGTAATATTTTCCACCCTCTGTAGACTCTAGGCAGAGTGACCTCAGATCATTATAGAAATCTTCTCCTTATTCTGGAGGATTGACCTTTACGGTACATTCTCCTGTAACCTTTGAACAGAGTAACTTTGTTTTCCAAGATCTTCTTCCTTCAGGCTGTTTGAGATCTCATTCTGCTGTTGTATCACTTCCTTGTGGATCTGCTGTCTTCCTAACAAGTCAGTATGTGAAATTTTGAAACTGCATTTCTTTCATCATCTTGGTTCGCCAGCTTATATTACTGAAGAAACCAGGTTAAGGTGGTATTTACTCGTCAACTTATTCAAACTATGTTTTTGAACTCAGTTCATCCAGCTCAATTGTGTTTTAGTATACTAGCTCAACTAGGTCCGTACCAGCTTAGTCAATGGCCATCTTTGGCCCGATTAACCAAGATTGAGATGAGCAAAAGTAAAAAAGAAATTAAAATAGTCTAGTCAGTGGTTTGCCTAGTAGTCAAATAATTTGTCATAGGGAAGCGAATAATTAAATGGGTTTTGGGTTCACTTAATGTGTTTGGTACTGGAGATCGGACCATACTAATTGGTTAGACAGTTGTTGAATGACTAATATAGACCACCTTCACTCATTCCTATAGGTCAACATCAGACCCATTGGGTTGATCAACTGACCAGCTTCAACTAGCTAGAAACCATGTAAAGCTGGCTACCACCTGGTTTTTGCTATTTGGTTAAGGCAAAGGCAATTGAGCTTGTTCCAAAAAAGTATACCATCTCTACAAACATGGTTGTAATTCAGCCTTGATAATCTGGTACAATAGTGTAAAGACGGCACGTGCAAAACGTTTCCGGGTTCAACGAACCCTTCATTAGTGCCATGTCACTTTTTTGGCCAACAATTTCTCGTGTGTGGATTTTTTTTTGTCTTTGTTTTAAGCTATTTTTTGGATCTATGCACCGCAAGGAATTCCACTCATTCAAGTTTTTTGGACTAGCGCCTGACGCTACGCCTTTCCCTTCTCTCCAAATTGTGGCCTTGCCTCAGTCACTGAATTTG